CGTCTGCCTCGTCCACCTGCTTCTCCTCCCCTTCTCCCACCAAACGAAGGAGGGCCTGCCGCTGCACTTCACTGCCAGCTTCATGGCCGCCTTCATCGCCTCCGCGCTCAGCAATCCGGTGGACGTGGCGAAGACCCGGCTGATGAACCAGAAGGAGGGGGAGGCGGCCTGGGCCCCAACGACAGGGGAACAAGCAATGGCATGAACATAACAACTCGGACCTCCGAGCTTTTGTGTTTATGTCGTTGTTTGTTTCCCTAAACACTGTGCCGAGCACCGGTGCTTGCCTGCCTCTCTCCCGCAAGTTGAGGGGGATCTGTGTGAGTTCGGATGCAACTCCTGGGAGGTTAAATTCTGATTTTGCCCTGGTCCGAAATCTAGCTTAATCCAGCTTGATCCCGCTAAATGCGGCCTGATCCCATTTAATCTGGCTAAATGCGGTTTAATCCCGCTGAATCCGAGGCCCAGTTTGGCGTAACAGCTTTCCAATGGGGCTTAATCCTCCTTAATCTTTCCGACGAAGACCTCCCAGTAGTTGCCTCCTAATGTGAGGGAGGCGCCGGCCAGCGCCTCCGCATGCCCCTCTTCCGCCGCCTCCCCCTCCCAGGAAGGAGCAGGGGAAGGGGGAGGAGGAGGAGGGGGAGGAGGAGGAGGAAGAGGAGGAGGAGGAGGAGGAGGAGGAGGAGGAGGAGGAGGAGGAGGAGGAGGAGGAGGAGGAGGAGGTGGAGAGGGGAGGTAGAGAGGGGAGCGGAGCAGGGAGGCGCTGGTGGTCTGCGTTTGGGCCCGGCAGGTCCTGTACACGGGCACCCTGAACGTCATGACGTCGATGGTCCTCGCCCTCGTTCTCCACCTTCTCCTCCTGGCTTTAAGTCGGGCGTGTCCCTCTATAGGAGGAGTGTTCAGAAATAGTCAGAAATATTCAGGGGACGATTTTTCGATTATTTTGAACTGCTCTTGAATGTTTTCCGCCTGTTTTTCATTTGTCCTCTAAAATCCGCCAGTAGGGGGACATGCCCGACCTAATCCTAGCTGCACTGCTGCTCCTTCTCCCCCCCTCCTCCCCAGAGGTCTCTGGAGGTCCCCTGAGGTCTCTAGGGGTGTCCAGCGGGTCTCTATGGAGGATTCCGGAAGCCACTGGGCCCGTGGGGCCCAGCCGAGTGACCGTCGCCGTGACTGAAGTCCAGAGGCCCTCAGCCCTACCTGCCACCGTGCCTGGGCTCAGGGGCAGCCTGACCTACCCCTAGCAAACCATTCAGGAGGAGAAAAACACACAGACACAAGTAATCGTCGATTCCCAGGAACATATGGGAAAACGTGGGAAGTGTGTGGGGGGGGACGACGCGAACCCAGAAAGTACGGGAAAATATGGGGAATCCTGGGATTTGTGTGTGTTCGACTGTGCGTCCCTGGGCCCCTTTAACCATCCCCTTCCGTGACGTCCCCCTCCTCCCCTTCCTCCTCCTCCTCCTCCTCCTCTTCCTCCTCCTCCTCCTCCCTCCTCCTCCCTCCCTCCTTACTCCCCCTCCTCTCTCCTCCCTCTCCTCCTCCTCCTCCTCCTCTCCCCTCCCTCCTCCTCCTCCTCCCTCTCCTCCTATCCTCCCCCTCCGCCTTCCTCATCCTCCTCCTCCCCTTCCTTCTCCTCTCCTCCCCATGCCTCCGTCCGCCTCCCCTCCTCTCCTCATCCTCCTCCTCCTCCTCCTCTGCCTCCCCCTCCTCCTCCTCCTCCTCCTCTCCTCCTCCTCCTCCTACTCCTCCTCCTCCTCCTCATCCTCACCTCACCTCCCTCCTCTCCTCCTCCTCCCTCCTCATCCTCCTCCTCCTCCTCCTCCTCTCCCTCACCTCCTCCCTCCTCCTACTCGTCCCTCCTCCTCCTCCTCCTCCTCCCTCCTTCTCCAGCTCCATCCAAGCGCCTCCTTCCTCCTCCTCCTCCTCCTGCCTCCTCCTCCCATCTTCTCTCCTCTCCCCTCCTCCTTTCTCCTCTCCTCCTCCCCTCCGTCTCTCCTTCCTCCTCCCCTCCTCCTCCTCCCTCCCCTCTCCTCTTCCTTATCCTTTCCTCCTCCTCTCCGCCTCCTCCCTAATCCCTACTCCTCCTCTTCCTCCCCTCTCCTTCCTCCTCCTCCTCCACCTCCTCCTCCTCCTCCTCCTCGATGCGCTCCAGCGGCTGCGCCTCGCCGAGGGCGTGCCAGGGGGTGCCTGCGTCGTCCCGCCTGGCCGCGGGAGAGCCGAGTTGTGACCGAAAAACCGCCAGGCGTCCGAGACGGGGCAGGCCTTCTCAGAAGGCTCGTACGTCCCCCGGCCTTTCGAGGAGTTCTCTGAGTCCCTCCCGGCGACGCGGAAAGCCTCCCAGAAGGCCAGAGGGCTTCGCCTAGCGTGCCTGTCTGACGCGTTTGACTTCTTGCGCAACGCCTGGAGGCGTGGGGTGCGAATTGCACCTGCACTGGTTTTCGAAGGCAGGCTCCGATATCTTCGCCGCAGGCATGGGGCAGTGCAGGCGGCGTGGAACCAGGGGCCTGGTTGACCCCCCCCAAACAGAAGAAGGCCAGAGGGCTTCTGAGGAGCGCCGCCGCCTTCTGAGAAGACCTTCTGCTTCGCACTTCCCCGCCCCCCCGCTCGCCGCCCATACTCGCCGAGCCGTGCCTGGGTCCTGGGCGCGAGGCCGCTCCCTCCGCGGGCCTCGGGGGGGGCGCCCGGGGACCTCCAGGGAAGCCCCTCGGAGCGACCCCCCCCAGCAAAAACCTCGGGGGAGCGCGGGGGAGGGTAATTTCCCCTCGTCAGCGGCGAGCGGGGGGGGAAAGTGAGCAGGAGGAGGCCCTGCCAGAATGCGGCGGTGACCTCTCAGAGGCCCTCGCGCCTTCTGAGAGGCGCGAGGGCCTCTCAGAACAACTTCTCAGAAGGCCAGCCTTCTAAGAAGGCCCGCCCCTTCTAACTTCGTCCCCGCGCTTGTCGCCGACCTCCTCCCCGAAGGGAAGACGGGTTCTGGAAGAGGAAGGAGAGGCGTCGTTGGAACACCTACGCCCAGAGGGCTGGTGAGATTGGACCTCGCCCCCCGCAGTGCTAATGCACTCTTGAGACCGCGGGCCACATGTTCCGAGCGAGGAGGAGGGGGAGATCACTAGACACAGACACAAGTCAGCGCCGATTTCCAGAAACAAGTACGGGAAGCTATGGGGACTCGGAGGGGAAGGTGAACCTCCAGAAGATATGGAAAAATGGGGGGGGGGGAATCCTGGGATTCGTCACTGTTGTCGTGTGTCCCTGGGCCCCTTCGTCTGAGGCCTGAAGGCAAAGGGGCCCGGAGGTTTTCCACCGTTCACGTCCTGCCGTGCCCCCCACCCCCGGCGCCTCGGGGCTATGCACACTCGTGCTCGGAAGCCCTGCCTTGGGGGGAAGCCCTCCTCCTCCTCCTCCTCATCATCACCATCATCATCATCATCATCATCATCATCATCATCATCATCATCATCATCATCATCATCATCATCATCATCATCATCATCATCATCATCATCATCATCATCATCATCCTCATATCCTCCATCAATCTAGTCATCTTCATCATCCTCTCCTCCTTCTTTTCTGTCCTCATCCTCCCTTCCTCCTCCTCCTCCTCTGTCCTCCTCTCATGTCCTCTCCTCCTCCTCCTCCTCCCTTGTCCTCCTCCTCCTCCTTCTCCCTCCTCCTCCTCCTCCCGGGTCCAGGACGCGCCTCCCAAGGGACCCCTCTACCTCGTGCCAGTCCTCCTTCTCCTCCCTCTCGGCCTCAGGTCAAGCAGGAGGGGCCTCTGTCCCTCTACAAGGGGTTCCTCCTGTCCTCCTCCTTCTCCTCCTGTTCTCCTCCTCCTGTCCTCCTCCTCCTCCTCCTCCTCCTCCTGTCCTCCTCATGTCCTCCTCCTCCTCCTGCTCCTCCTTCTCCTGTCCTCCTCCTGTCCTCCTCCTGTCCTCCTTCTCCTCCTCCTCCTCCTCCTCCTGTCCTCCTCCTCCTCCTCCTCCTCCTCCTTCTCCCTCCTCCTCCTCCTCCTCCTCCTCCCAGGTCCAGGACGCTCCTTCCAAGGAACCCCTCTACCTTGTGCCAGTCCTTCTTTTCCTCCCTTTCGGCCTCAGGTCAAGCAGGAGGGGCCTCTGTCCCTCTACAAGGGGTTCGCCGCCACATTTGCCCGGCAGTGCCCGTACGTTGTCGTCACCTGGGTGACGGTCGAGCAGCTCAAGAAGGCGATGCACCACTGGTGATGCCAGCTGCGCGGGAGGCCCTCGTTGCGAGCATCAATCCCCAGACCGTTGGCGGAATGTTCTCGGGGTGACTACAGCGGCCTCCCGCAGCACCTTCGTCGTCGGTGTCGTCGTCGTCGTCGTCGTCGTCGTCGTCGTCGTCGTCGTCGTCGTCGTCGTCGTCGACTACAGCGGGCCTGCGCAGCATTCGCAGTGTGTCGTGGTCGCCGTCGTCGTCGTCGTCGTCGTCGTCGTCGTCGTCGTCGTCGTCGTCGTCGTCGTGGTCGTCGTCGTAGGACTTTGTAGCTCCGGAGCATTCTGGAACACGGCCATTGCGCCCGATACATCTTCTGGACGACCCGTCGGTTCCCAGGGACTCCTGCTTCATCCGAAGGGCTGCGCCCTCTGCCGGCAGCCCCCCTGGCTGCGCCTCTTTTAGTGGGTCTCTCGGAGCAGTCTTCGGGCCAAGCTCGAGGGGCAGTCTCGAGGGCGTCCAGGGGCCATTCCGGGGCCTCGTTGGGCCATCCTGGGCGACCTGGCGGCCTCTTGGAGCCTCTGGGTCCTCCTGGCGGCCGTCAGGGCAATCTCGGGGGCTCCGGGGGTCGTCATGAAGCGATCTCTGGACATCTCGGGGGCAGTGCGTGGGGCAAGCAAAACATTGGCAGCCTTCTGTTGTTCAGCAGTTGTTGCCCTCTCGGGGGCGTCTCAGCGGCCAGGGTTCGGGTACCCCCGTCTAAGCATGTTTCGGGGGGGGTGGAGGCCAGGCCCCGCAGTATACATTCACTTGGAGACAGGACTGGAGAGACCAGAGACAAACAAAAAAGGGCATCATTAAGAGGACAATACAGCGGTCTGGTAGCAGACCTCACAGCCTAGTGCCCCCCTGGGGGGCCATCGGATCTCTGCCCGATCTTTGCCTCCATCCTGCCGTCGGCTCAATGGGGTTGGTGGGCGTAACGGGGGCCTCAGACGTGTCTCCACTCTCGGCACGGGCCCGGGCGCCACCCCGTCGCTCGCTGTTGCCCGCCGGGCCTGGCCTCTGGGGCACTCCGCCCAGGGATCTGGCGTGTTCTGTTTGTATGTTTTTCTATAATGTGCAGTCCCTGCACTCTAGGCCTCCTAGATGTGGTCGGAGTAGATGGGGTCGGAGGATCGCGCCGCATCCCCCATGTATCGCCGATGCGGCTCGATGTGGAGCCCGATTTGCTTCACGCGGACGTCACCGATGCATCGCCGGTGCGTCGCCGATGCATCGCTGGTGCATCGCCGATGCGTCGCCGATGCATCGCCGATGCACCGCTGGGGGGTCCCAGACGATCGTCAAACATTTTTTTGACCCCCCCACTATTGTGAGATTTGGAGCAGGTCACCTTCGGGGCCACGAAGATGACGTTTGGCGCGTCGCGGTCTGGGCCAGAGCGGTTGCCCTTCTCCAATGGGGCGGCGCCAGGGCGCGACAGCGCGAAGAGACCGTCGCTCGTCGCACATCGCGGTGCGCGATGCGCGGTGTCAGGTGACCTGGGTCCGGCCACCCTGAGGGCCAGGGTGCCCAGGAGCGACCGAACAGACCCGCCAGAGGGAAGACAAGGCGGCCAACGGCGCTCAGTGCCAGGCGATGACGATTCTCCCGGATGGGGTTCGTGTGGATGGGGTCGGACGCGCCGCATCGCCGATGCATCGGCGATGCGGCTCGATACGGAGCCCGATTCTCGCCACGCCGACGGCGGCGATGCATCGCCGATGCTTCGGCGATGCGGCGCGATCATTCTACCCCATCTACTCGGACCCCACTTGGAAGGCTCTTAGATTGTGATGCGTTTTTGCGGGCCTCCAGAGACCCAGTCGGAAATTTGACGCGAGCTCCCGCTGCAAATCTCCCACGATCACTGAGCCGTCTACATCCAGGACGCGCTCGTCAGAAGGCGTCGGCAAACCCGAGTTCGGGCGTCCTCGAGTCATACCTTTCCGGGAGAAGCACGTCCAAGGCTTGGCCAAACATCTTGACGACTTGGTCGAAGAAGAAAAACCGATCCGCGCGGAACGCCACCAGTTTTTGCTTATGGCGTTTTTTTTAATATTTGTTTTCTCCCTGAGGGCTTCGCCCCTCTGCCGATGGCCCCCTCTGTCGGGTGATGGGCAATGCAAGAGCGAAATCATGAGGCCTCGGCGCCGCCGTGAAGCAGCATCGGCAAGAGAAATTGAGATCCTGATGAAATTGTTGAACTCAGTGTTTCGGAGACGCGAATCGTTTGTAAATTACGAGGGTTGATGGTTTCTTGCCCGAGGTGACAGTGTATTTTACGAGGGTTTATGGCTTCGGGGACGCAGATCTAATGTACTTTTAACGTAACTTACAAGGGTTGATGGCTTCGGAGACGCGGGAAAAACAACATTTACGAAGGTTTATGGCTTCGGATACGCGAATAGCGCGCAATTAAAAAAGGGTTTATGGCTTCGGGGTCGCAATGCAGCGTAATTTACGCAGGTTTATGGTTCCGGCGACGCGAATATGGTGTAATTTATAACGGCGTATGGCTTCGTACGCGCGATTATCGTGTAATTTACTAGGTTTTATGATTTCGGTGTCGCAAATATTGCGTCGTTTACGCAGACATGGCTTCGGTGAAGCGACTTTTGTATAATTTAGGATGGTTTATGGTTTCGGGGGCGCGAACATCGCATCATTTACTGGCGTTTCTGGCATCGGGGACGTAAGTATTGCGTAATTTGCAAGCGTTTATGGCTTCGAGGACACGAATCTGGTGTATTTTGCAAGGGTTTATGGGTTCGGGGACGCGGATATTGCACACTGCGCCGATCTGAAAGTTTCCCCAATTTCGCCACCGTGCTCGCCGCGGCCATCTGGGGTGGCGCGCGCAGGATAATACTCGCGGGAGGGCGGATGGGGGCGATGTCGCGAGGGCAGAGTCGGCGCGCCGATGGGCAGCCCAGCACGCCGTTTGGCCGGAGGGGCCCAGTACAACGCAAGGGCAGAGCCTAACCCCCGCCCGGGGTCGCGGGATCGGGTTCCCCGTCCCAATTTAGAATTTTGAATCCCAAATTGTGTGCTGACCCGAAAATGAACAAACGGTATAGGACTTCCCGAAAAAAACTTGCGGTTTCGGTCAGGCGACGACCCGAAAAGTTTACCGGCCGACCTGAAAGTGGCCAAATCCCATCGGACTTGTGCACAAATTACCTTGCGACGTACCCAACCCACGTGCATCAAGTGGCAAAAGGAGTAGGCCAACACTAGCAGAAACAACGATAATGTAGGCGATGTGAATTGCTGTGCAAACTACATGGGATGCGCACGCATTGCGCGGCTCACAGGACGACGATCGAAAGAACGAGGATTAAAGCCCCAGGCTCGCGTATGACGTCACTCCGCTGGGCCACCCAGCAGCCCTCGAAAGTGGTGACAGTTTCGCAGATCGCAGCCCCCCAAGGATGGCGAGGTCTCATCTGAATCCGAATCTGTCCCCACTCCGCTGGGCCCTCCAGCAGCCCTCGAAAGTGGCGACAGTTTCGCAGATCGCAGCCCTTCGGGGATGGCGAAGTCGAGCCTGGGCCTGCGTAGGACCCATCCCGCTGGCCCCCCAGCAGCCATCGAAAGTGGCGACGGTTTCGCAAATCGCAGTCCCCCAGGAATGGCGAAGTCGAATCTGAGTACCCCACTCCGCTGCCCCCCCCAGCAGCCCTCGAAAGTGGCGACAGTTTCACATATCGCAGCCCCCACCAATGGCGAGGTCTAATCTGGGTCCCCGTGGGGGCTCACTCCGCTGGTCACCCCAGCAGCCTTCGGAAGTGGCGACAATTTCGCAGATCGCAGCCCCCCAGAGATGGCGATGTCTAATCTGAGTCCCCGTGGGGCCTCACTCCGCTGGGCCCCCCCAGCAGCCTTCGAAAGTGGCGACGGTTTCGCATCACAGATCGCAGCCCCCCAGGGATGGCGAGATCTAATCTGAGTACCCCGTGGTGCCTCACTCCGCTGGGCCCCCCAGCAGCCTTCGAAAGTGGCGACAGTTTCACAGATCGCAGCCCCCCCCAGGGATGGCGAGGTCTAATCGGAGTCCCTGTCCCCGTGGTGCCTCGCTCCGCTGGACCCACCAGCAGTCCTCGAAAGTGGCGACAGTTTCACAGATCGCAGCCCCAACAGATGGCGAGGTCTAACCTGAATCCCCGTGGTGCCTCACTCCGCTGGACCCCCCGGCAGCCTTCGAAAGTGGCGACAGTTTCACAGATCGCAGCCCCCCAGAGATGGCGAGGTCTCATATGAATCCGCGTGGTGCCTCACTCCGCTGGACCCACCAGCAGCCTTCGAAAGTGGTGACAATTTCGCAGATCGCAGCCACCCCCAGAGATGCCGAGGTCTAATCTGGATCCCCGTGGTGCCTCGCTCCGCTGGACCCACCAGCAGCCCTCGAAAGTGGCGACAGTTTCACATATCGCAGCCCCCACAAATGGCGAGGTCTAATCTGAATCCCCGTGGTGCCTCACTCCGCTGGACCCCCCAGCAGCCCTCGAAAGTGGCGACAGTTTCACATATCGCAGCCCCCCACAGATGGCGAGGTCTAATCTGAATCCCAGTGGTGCCTTACTTTGCTGGACCCACCAGCAGCCCTCGAAAGTGGCGACAGTTTCACAGATCGCAGCCCCCACAGATGGCGAGGTCTAACCTGAATCCGCGTGGTGCCTCACTCCGCTGGACCCACCAGCAGCCTTCAAAAGTGGCGACAGTTTCACAGATCGCAGCCCCCACCAATGGCGAGGTCTAATCTGAGTCCCCGTGGTGCCTCACTCCGCTGGACCCACCAGCAGCCCTCGAAAATGGCGACAGTTTCACAGATCGCAGCCCCCACAAATGGCGAGGTCTAATCTGAATCCCCGTGGTGCCTCGCTCCGCTGGACCCACCAGCAGCCCTCGAAAGTGGCGACAGTTTCACAAATCGCAGCCCCCCCAGGGATGGCGAGGTCTAATCTGGGTCCCCGTGGTGCTTCACTCCGCTGGACCCACCAGCAGCCCTCGAAAGTGGCTACAGTTTCACAGATCGCAACCCCCACAGATGGTGAGGTCTAACCTGAATCCCCGTGGTGCCTCACTCCGCTGGACCCACCAGCAGCCCTCGAAAGTGGCGACAGTTTCACAAATCGCAGCCCCGCACGGGGATGACCAGGCAGGAGGCAAGCTGACACGCGGCGACGAGCAAGGTGAGATGCAGGGGGGAAGAGGAAAGGAGGAACGAGGCGGGAAGGAGAAGAAGGGAAGACGCGACCGCAGTGCTCTATTCAAAACGAGTACCCAACGCAGGAGGGTTCGGAAAAAATCGGGCCCGGTTCGAGCGACCCGAAAATGCGCAAACCGCTTAGGATTCCTTGCTAAAACAACGTTCTCGAGGTCTTCGGGCCCACTCCGAAGAAACCGAATATGGACAAACCGCGTAGAACTTCATATCAAAAACGGTTTCTCGGTGGTTCTGGGCCTCGTCCGAAGGAGCCGCCGATGGGCAGACTGCTCAGGACTTCCTGCACAAAAAAAGGTTCCCCGGGTGAGCCATTGTCAACGGGAACGCGCCCCGCGCGGGATCGGGGTTCGCGCGGGGACGCGGCTGCTCTCGTTTGTCCAGGGGGCATGCGTTGCCGCGCCCTTCCAGCATAGCGTTCGCGCTGCATTCGCGCGGCGCCGTGCCTCTCAAATCGGAAAAATTTTCGGAGCGCCGATGTAATTCACGAGGGTTCATGGCCTCGGGGATACGAGTATTTGTAATTTACTAGTGTTTATGGCTTCGGGGGCGTGAACTTCATGTATTGTAGTGGCCTCCGGCCAGTGCCGCCGATCCGGGGCGCTCCGCAAGATGATGATCAGGATGATGATGAAGATGACGACGACGACGACGACGACGACGACGACGACGACGGGGGGGGGGGCTGGGTTGAGGGGGAGGGTCTGCTCTGCAGGGGGGTTCCGCTCGAGAGGGAGGGGACTGCAGGGAAAGAGGGCAAAGGGGGGGGTTTGCTCTGCAAGGGGGGTCGTCGGGCAGAGGGAGGTGCAGAGGAGAGGGGTGGTCCGCTCCGCTGAAGGGGGGGAGGCTGCAGGAAAGGAGGTCTGCTCTGCAGGGGGGGGTGCAGGGGAGGGATGGGGGGTCGCTCTGCAGGGGGGGGGGGGGCTGCACGGGCGGGGGTCGCTCTGCTCGGGGCATGGGGGGGGTGGGTTTTGCAGGGGGGGTGGGGGGTGGGGGGGGGGCGTCCGCTCTGCAGGGGGGGGGGGGGGGGGGTCCGCTCTGGGAGGAGGGGGGGATGCAGGAGGGTGGGTCTGCTCTGCAGAGGGGGGGTGCAGGGGAGGAGGGGGGGTTCGCTCTGCAGGGGTGGAGGGGGGGGGGGGCTGCAAGGGTGAGGTCCGCTCTGCAGGGGGGGGTTGGGTGGGGGGGCAGGGGGGAGGTCCGCTCTGCAGGGAGCGGGTTTGCCCTGCAGGGGGGGGTGGTGCAGGGGAGGGGGGGGGTCCGCTCTGCAGTGGGGGAGGGGGACTGCAGGGGCGGGGTCCGCTCTGCAGGGGACGCGAGCGACGACGACGACGACGAGGACGACGATGACGCGGACGCGACGACGACGACGACGACGACGACGACGACGACGACGACGACGACGACGACGACGACGACGACGACGGGACGATGACGACGACGACGACGACGACGACGACGACGACGACGACGACGTCGACGACGACGACGACGACGACGACGACGACGACGACGACGACGACGACGACGCGACGCGACGGACGACGACGACGACGACGACGACGGACGACGACGACGGGGGGGGAGCTGGGTTGCAGGGGGAGGGTCTGCTCTCCAGGAGGGGTCCGCTCGGTAATGGGATGGACTGCAGGGGAGAGGGCAGGGAAGGGGTCTGCTCTGCAGGGGGGGTCCGCTCGGCAGAGGGAGGGACTGCAAGGGAGAGGGGTGGTCCGCTCTGAAGGGGGGGGGGGCTGCAGGAGGGGAAGTCTGCTCTGCAGTGGGGGGGGGTGCAGGGGAGGGGGGGGGGTCCGCGCTGCAGGGGGCTGCGCGGGACGGGGTCCGCTCTGCAGCGGGGGGAAGGGCTGGGCTGCAGGGAGGGGGGGCGGTCCGCTCTGCAGGGGGCGGGGGGGGGGCTCTGGGAGGAGGGGGGCTGCAGGAGGGCGGGTCTGCTCTGCAGAGGGGGGGGGAGCAGGGGAGGAGGGGGGGATCCCCTCTGCAGGGGGGGGGGGGCTGCAGGGAGGAGGTCCGCTCTGCAAGGGGGGGGGGGGGGCTGGGCTGCAGGAAGGGGTGGGGGCGGTTCTGCAGGGGATGGGGGGTTCCGCTCTGGGAGGGGGGGGGCGAAGCACTGAATTAGGTCGGATTTGGTCGGGAAATGAGGTCCCCCCCCCGCAGAGCGAGGCTTGAGCGAGCTCAAGCCCACGCTCTCAGAAACTCACACGCCGGATCGGCGGATTTCTACGTGTCCCACGCCCCCCCCCACCCCCCAGGAATGCTGAGACCCTTCCCGGGAGGTGCAAACCAGGGTGCTTTTCGGCTCCCCCCCTCGCGCGGTCTACAACAAGGAACAGTAAGCAACGAGAAGCAGAACTGTAACACTGGAAACTGGAAGCTGGAACTGGCGCAGGGAACAGCAAACCCTCAACCTACAGCCTGGTGGCCCCGCAAAGGGGGCCGGCGGATATTTGTTTTATTTGTTTTTTCTTCCTCTTCTTCTATTTTGATGGCCCTCGATTGTTTGGCTGCTCCTGGGCCCACCTGGCCCTGCGGCTGGCTGGCCGAGCCCCCTCTGGTCCGGGGGGGGCAGGGAGGCCCGGTGTGCGGCTGGCCGGCGGCATGCGCTTCCGGGCGTTGCCGGACGGCGGGGCGCCGCTTGGGAAGCGCGCTCGCCGCCCGTGGAATTTGTGATTTTGGCCCGCCAGTGTCCTCCCCCGCCTTCGGGGGCAACGTCAGGGGGGGGGGATACGCACAGCCATCGCGCCACAAGAGGGAGCGCTGAAGGAGGAGGAGGGGGAGGGGGAGTGGGAGGAGGGGGGGGGGAGGAGGAGGAGGAGGAGGAGGAGGAGGAGGAGGTGGAGGAGGAGGAGGAGAGGAGGAGGAGGAGGAGGAGGAGGAGGAGGAGGAGGAGAGGAGGCGGAGGAGGAGGAGGAGGAGGAGGAGGAGGACCAGTGGACACCCAAGAGACATCAACGATGTCGGAACAAGTGGCACGCATGCCTTGGCTCTTGCATGGGGATGGTGACGATGAGGGGCGGCATTTGGGGGCCGTCATGGTGCTATCTCGGGGTCTCCTCGTGCCTTTCGGGGGCGGCGCGCGGGGCACGGGGCCAGGGAGATCCGCGATGGCCAATGATTCAGACGAGGCGAACGACGAGGAAAACTAAAAGGTTCGGAGTTTGTGCAAGATGATAAGCAAAAAGTCGACGCGGAAGGGGCGCTCTGGCTGGTGGGTGGAGGGATGCGGGGGGGCGCGCTGGACGGGAAGGGGGCGGTGCCGTGCCGAAGTAAAGGGGTCGGGGCGGAGGGGGCGCGCTGGCTGGTGCATGGGACGCTCGGGATGGAGGGGGCGGTGCCGTGCCGCGCTGAAATACCAGGTTCGGGGCGGAGGGGGCGGTGCCGCACCGAAACAACAGCGTCGCGGCGGAGGGGGCGCGCGGGCTGGCGGGTGGGGGGGCGCGGGGGAGGCGCGGCGGAGGGGACGCGCTGGCTGGTAGGTGGGAGGACGCGGAGGGCCTAAAGTAAGGGGTCGGGGCGTGGCGGGGCCGCGCCGAAATACGAGGGTCGGGGCGGAGGGGGCACGCTGGCTGGTGGGTTGGGGTGCGGAAGCGGCGCGCGGATGCGGGGCAGTGCCGTGCTGAAAAACCGGAGTCGGGGCGGGGAGGTGGCGCGCTGGCTGGTGGGCGGGGGGGGGTGCGGAGGGGGCGGCGCGCGGGATGGGGGGGCGGTGCCGTGCCGAAATACAAGGGTCGGGGCTGAGGGGATGCGCTGGTCGGTGGATGGGGCGATGGAGGTGGCGCTCGGGATGGGGGGTGGCAGTGCCGCGCCGAAATAAACAAATCGGGGCGGAGGGGGCGCGCTGGTGGTTGGGTGGGGTTATGCAGAAGAGGCATTCGGGATGGGGGGGCGGCGCCGTGCCGAATTGCAGGGGTCGGGGCGATGTGGAGGTGGCGCGCGGGATGGAAAGCGGGTGGTGCCGCGCCGAAATGAAAGAGGCGGTGCGGAGGGGGCGCTCAGGCTGGCGGGCGGGCGGATGCGGAGGGGGGCGTGCGGGATGGGAGGGGGGCGGTGCCGTGCCGAAATTAAGGGGTCGGGGCGGAGGAGGCGCTCGGGCTGGCGAGCGGGGCGATGCAGAGAGGGCGCTCGGGATGGAGGGGCGGTGACGTGCCGAAATCAAGGGGTCGGGGCGGAGGGGGCGCGCTGGCTGGATGGCGGGGCGATGCGGAGGGGGTGTGCGGGATGAGGGGGAGGGGGGCTGGAGGGGGCGCGCTGGCGGGTGGGTAGGGCGATGCGGAAAGGGCGTGCGGGATGGGGCAGGGGGAAGTGCGGGGAAGGGGGGTGGATGGCGGTGCCGTGCCGAAATAAAGGGGTCGGGGCGGAGGTGGCGCGCTGGCTGGCGTGGTGGGATGCGCAAGTGGGGCGCGGGATGGGGGGGCGGTGCCGTGCCAAAATAAGGTAGTCGGAGCTCTAGACACCCTGTGGAAGAGAATTAACCCTCCCTCCAAGCTCCCTCGTTACAGGCCCCTACAACGGTTCATTTCCACTGGGGGAGCTGCCTCGTTGGAAGACAGCCGTTTTGAGACCCTGAAGCATGTCAAAGCAATGTTCTCGGGACTCCAACGCCATGGATCAACCTGACTGTTGCGTCGTGACGATCTTGAATCGTGCCAGAGTGCCGTTCCTGCGACGTCAACACAGCGAATCAACGTAATTGTTGCGCCCTCATAATCCTGAATCCTTCCAATAACACCTTTTGTTTGTAGGCTGATCATGGAAACCCGTGAAACTATTGCGAATTTGGAAAACGAATGTGCGCGGCGCGAAGGCGACAGCCACATTTTGACAACCACCCGCCCTCAATCCGTGAAGCTCTTGCACATTTTGCAAACGAATGTGTGCGGCGCTAAGACGAGAGCCACATTTTGAAAACCATCCTCCCTCAGTCCGTGAAAGTCTTTCAACTTTTTACAACGAATGTGCGCGGCGCGAAGGCGAGAGCCACATTTTGACAACCACCCGCCCTCAATCCGTGAAGCTCTTGCACATTTTGGAAACGAGTGTGCGCGGCGCCAAGGCGAGAGCCACATTTTGAAAACCACCCGCCCTCAATTCGTGAAAGTCTTTCAACTTTTTACAACGAGTGTGTGCGGCGCGAAGGCGAGAGCCAGATTTTGACAACCACCCGCCCTCAATCCGTGAAGCTCTTGCACATTTTGAAAACGAATGTGCGCGGCGCGAAGGCGAGATCCACATTTTGAAAACCACCCGCCGTCAATCATGAAGATCTTGCAAAGTTTTAAAACGAGTTCGCGTGTTGATCAGGCGAGAGCCACATTCTGAAAACCACACGCCCTCCATGTGTGAAATTGTTGTCATTTTTAAAGCTTCAGGGTCGTAAATGGTGAGGGAATCTCAGACGACCCGCCCGACCCGCCCTGAAACAGGCCTCGTGGTGCGACAGGGAGAAGTTATGTATAAGGAAAAGGAATGGAGGAGGAGGAGGAGGAAGAGGAGGAGGAGGATGAGGAGGAGGAGGAGGAGGAGGGTCCTTCCAGCTTCCGATTTCCAGCGCGGCAGCAGGCTGTGCGAGCCAGTAGCGGGTTTTTGCTGACCTTTTCTACGCATTTCCCAATACGCCTGCCCAGAAGCTCTCTGGAAGGTCCTTCGGAAACTTTCTCCAGGTGCTTTGAGAGATGCTTCTTCGCCACGCCTTTCCACACCCTTCTGGCGCCCTGCTATCCGTTTTTTTCCTGGATAGCTCGCAGAAAGCTAAGAGGGTTTCAGATTAAGATGCCCGAGCCGCAGGGTAGCCTTGGAGGTCGTTCCAGTTTCCTGGAAAAGTCTCTGGCGCAGGCTGCTTGAACTTGCAGCGAATGGAGGAGGTGGAAGAGGAGGAGGAGGAGGAGGAGGAGGAGGAGGAGGAGGCGGAGGAGGCGGAGGAGGCGGAGGAGGCGGAGGAGGAGGAGGAGGAGGAGGAGGAGGAGGAAGAGGAGGATGAGGAGGAGGAGGAGGAGGATGAGGAGGAGGAGGAAGGAAGGAAGGAGGAGCACGAGAACGAACAGCAGCAGCAGGAGCTGGAGCGGGAGGCGCGGGAGGTGCAGGAGGAGCGATAGGGTGCTCTTCTGGCCACGGCGAGCCCGGGCCGCAACTGACAGGCTCTCCGGCCCAGATCTCGGGAACGGCCTGCTCTCCAGATCCGACGAAGGCGTCTACACACCACCACCGCGCCAGGCCAGGACCATCCTGGGTCCTAGGATGGTGTATAGACCCTTCTGGCCTCGGCCAGGAGGGCGTATACACCATGCCAGGGCCAGGATGGCCCTGGCTTGGCACGGTGGTGGTGTTTCAACGTTTTGACTGTATCGGGAACTGGAGCATATACATCACCAGTGGCGGGCTGTTCTTCAATCCCAGGACTTTTGGAGGGTCGGTGAGGACGACGTCGGGGAGGTGTGGTGTGTTTTTTTCCGCGTTTTCCTGGGGAAGCGACGAAACATGTATGCACCAGGATTCCGGATACACCAGGATCCGCTTTCTTGTGTGAGTTTCAGTGGGGCGGAAAAAGCGTCGGTGTATAGAGTTCGGCTACTTCTTGTTTGTAGGCTCAGGGGGGGATGCCTCGACTCCCAATCACCCGCTGGTCGCCGATGGGGGCCCGATGGGGACCCGCCGGCCCACCCCGCCCAGGAGCGTGCGGTTTCGCAGCCGGGGGCCGATCGCCGATCTATCGGCGATGCATCGCCGATTCCAGCTCGATGCCGCCCCCTCTGGGCTGGCCCCCCCTCTGACGTTTCCCCTCGGCCAGACTGGGGCGCGGTAGGATCAGAGGCATGGTAGGCAGCAGGAAGAAAAGATCACCGTCGCCGTCGTCGCCATGCCGTCGCCGTCCTCCTGACCATCGTCGTCATCACAAAGTATCTCTGTCCTTTTTTTCTTTCTGAAGATGTCGCTCCTCCTCCCTGTCCCCCCTCCCCACCTTCTCGTCCTCCTCGTCGCCGTCATTCTCGTCTTCCTGTTCTCACTTCTCCCTCTCCCTCCTCCTCGTCCTCCTCCTCCTCCCGCCTCATTTGCTCACGCCTTCCTCGACCCTGAGCGGTAGCTCTGGGCCCTCCCGGGGACTTCTGAGGGCCCTGGAGCAGAGGGAGAAAGTGGTGGGGGGGGAGGGGGGAAGGAGGCCCAGAGATGCAACGCATTGCAAAACTCAAGATGGAGGTTTCTCGCCCTCTTTGCTTCCAGAGGCCCTCGCCGGTCCGGGCCTGGAACCATCAAAAGGCGACTCAGGATGAGAAGCCGACCCTGGGGAGAGGGTCGAGACTTCCGCGGCCCCGGTATTGAAGCGATCACGGCGTCGGATCTATGGGAAAGCAGGAGGGGAGCCCTGGCCAGGAGGGCGTGTGCACCAACTCTCGCGCTCAGGTGTCGGGGCCTGGCCTGGGGCGGTGTGGTGTCGGGGCCTGGCTCAAGCAGCTGTACGAGAGACCGCCACATTCCGCGGCAGTCTTTTTCTGCAGCCCGTCCTGTAAGTCATTCGCCTGCCAGGACAGCTTCTTCAGCACCATGCGCGAGGCGATCTGCATCCACATCGGACAGGCAGGCGTTCAGGTTTGTAACGCTTATTGGGAACTCTTCTGCCCCTGGCGACGACGCCTTCAACACATTCTTCTCGGAGACGGGTGCCGGCAAGCACGTTCCGCGTTGTGTGATGGTGGATCTTGAGCCCACCGTCGTGGACGAGGTCCGCACCGGCACGTACCGCCAGCTCTTCCACCCCTAGCAGCTGATCTCTGGGAAGGAGGACGCGGCCAACAACCTCGCGCGCGGCCACTACACGATCGTCGACCTTGTCTTCGACCGCATTCGGGAGCTCGCCGACAACTGCACTGGGCTCCAGGGGCTCATGATCTACAACGCCGTCGGCGGAGGCACCGAATCCAGGCTTGGCTGCTTAATGCTGGAGCGCCTGTCGGTGGACTACGGCAAGAAGACCAAGGTCTCGTACACGGTGTGGGCGTGCCCGCAGGTCGCCACGGCAGTGGTGGAGCCTTACAACACCGTGTTGTGCGTGCACTCTTTGCTGGAGCACACGGACGTGACTATCATGTACGACAACGAAGCATTTTACGGTATTAGCAGTCGGGATCTCGACATCGAGCGCCACACCTACACGAACCTGCACAGGCTTCTGGCCCAGATCATATCCTCGCTGACGGCGTCGCTGCGCTTTGACGGCGCGCTTAACGTGGACATCACGGAGTTCCAGACGAACCTGGTGCCGTGTCCGCGCATCCTTTTGATGCTCTCGAGCTACGCACCAGTGATCTCTGCAGAGAAGGCCTACCACGAGCAGCTCTCTGTGGCGGAAATTACCATATCCGTGTTTGAACCCTCGGCCATGTTTTCCGAGTGTGACCCCCGCCCGTGCAAGTACATGGCAGTATCTGTCGACGGCCGTCTTTCCCCAGAGGCGGCGGAGGGCATCAAGGCCAAGGAGGTAGAGGGGGCCTCCAGCAGACGCAAGTGTGCCGTGACGGCGGTCCGTAGCAGCCGACCCAGGGAGTGTAGGCCTAGTGCCCTGCCTTTATAGTCCTCGCCGCATCGGGGGGTGCGGTCACGACTCCTACTGGGAAGGCTGTCATTGGGTGCATCCTGATCGGCACACCTCGCGGACTTGAGTTCCGCGAGCGAGGGAAGGCTTGTGAGTGGTGTCTGGCCTCCCTGGCAGTGCTCCCGAGTACTGCCACGCACAAAATCGCCCTGCGGCGGATGGCTAAGCCAATCGCCAGGAGTGGCCATTTTGACCTTTGCAGCTCTTGTTCCGCGTGCTGCATGAGGCGACGTGGCGCCCAAGGACGTGAACGCATTGCCAGCCACCATCAAGACGAAGCGCACGATTCAGTTTGCGCATTGGGCTTCGCCGCTGGGGTGATGTCGGCGCCCCACGGGGCTCCGGGGTCGTCTGGCCGTGCTGGGTGCCTCCCTGGGCGCGAAGCGGGAACGATCCCCGCCTAATGGCGGGTTGACGCGGCAACTACTCAGCACAGCCCGGTGCCGGCGGGTGGGAATGCAACTCGAAGAGTCGCAGTTCCTCCTTCGCTGGGGCCTGGGATCGCGGTGCCGGCAGTGGGCCCAGCTGCCGGATTCGCTGCCGAAGGCAACAGACATGCAGGGTGTCATCCAGGGAGTGGAAAACGACATGGTCATAGATGCGCGGAGGGACGATCAGTTGAACGACGAGCTGATCAGAGAGAGGAGAGTGAGAAGGAGGGAACGAGCACAGTCCCGGAGAGCGGTGAAGACCGCCGCCCGACGGGAGCATCGCAGAGTACGTAGTCTTCAGATCGAGCGTGAGGTTCGCGAGGCTCGTGGGCGCGATGCTGACGATGATCTTCGAGTACGGAACGTCACGATCGCGACGTGGAACGTGTGCCGGCTGCCAGTTGGCGAGGACGCTCAGGAGAGGTTCTTCGAGGTGATTGCTTTCGCAGAGAGCGACATGGGGCGTGGTGTGTTTGTCTGACGTGCGGGGAGGTGAACCTGGAGTGGGAGTTTGGGAGGGTGTGGATCACTGGGTGCTTATTTCGACAGCGAGGGCAGCCATCTTGATGAACGACTCTTGGGCCAGCGACAGGGAGAGCACTGGCAGCAAGTACCAGGCGAGCGAGCGGGTGTTCTGGGCCGACTTCCCGAGCTTGCGCTTCGCTGCTGTCTACCACCCTTTATGGAAGGATCGCTGGGCACTTCGCCGTGGGGTTCGCCGGGAGCTGGAGGATGCAGTTCGGGGCTGTCCGCCAGAGTCGTGGTTTCTCGTCGGAGGTGACTGGAGTTCCCAGATGGGTCCATCACAGGAGCCTTCGTCCTGCCTGGGGCGGTCTGCCATGAGCGTGCAGAGCCAGGCCGGGGCCGATCTGGAGCACTGGGCATCGGATTTGGGTTTCGCATTTGTTGATTCTCATGTCTCTATGCGCCACAGAGGCACGTGGCGGCATGGCAAGGATCGCACTTGGCACGAGATAGATGGCTTCTTCACGAAGGCCACTGGCTGGGCGACCAGAGTCCGATCTGTCCAAGTGGATTGCTCGGCGCGCATCGGGGACCACTTGCCGAGTGCTCTGCGCGTGCACTGGGCGTTCGGCCAAGCCGGCGAGGCACGTCCTCGTGCTCGCTCTCGGCCAGCTCCCCGCATTGCATTTGAGAGGTTTCGGGAACCAAATCTTGCCGCACGGTGCGCTGATGAGACCAAACTTGCCGTGGACACGCTGGGGAGCAATCCGACGTGGGAATCCAGTGCCGGATGTGTGCAGGAGACGGCTCCCAACGTCCTTGGCGAGACTCGCCAGTTCGCAGCTCTGTTGTGGATGGTTGGCCATCGCGCTGAGGCGTCCCGGCATAGGGACACGATCGGCGAGTGGACAACGCGGAGGAGACAGGCAGCTGACGATTCCGAGTTGTAGACAGCATTATCGCGGCTCCGCCGTGCCCGTGCAGCGCGCAGACGAGACGAGAGACAGTGGCAGCGAGCATGGCGTGACCAGCTAGCAGATGAGATAGCTGCTGCCGAGGCCATGGGCGACGAGAGGGCTGTCAGCGAGGGCCTCACTCGTGCTGGTGCAACTGGCCGGCGGCGCCCCCCTGCCCGTGGCGGTCGAGCAGCTGGCGTCCGTCGCGGCCACGGTTGGGCAGGACCGACGGGGACATCCTCGATTCAAGGCTGCTGCTGTTCGTCTTGGCCGGCCCCTCGAGGATTTGCGAGATTTCGAGTGCTTTCAACAGAATCAAGGATAAGACGCCCAGAGACGACCAGATCCGCATCTCATTCATTCGCAAGGCGGGCGATCGCATGCAGAAGGCTGTTTTCGACTTGGTGCGGCGCTGTTGGGACGATCCTGAGGGGGGCTGGGAAGAGCTCGTGTGGGACGGTATCATGGTGCCTCTCTTCAAGACAGGTTCACGGAAGGATCCCAGTACTTACCGGATGGTGTGTTTATTGTCGATGATCACCCGGATTGTCGCCCGAGTGCTCGTCACGCGGCTCCGGCATTGGACCGAGGAGACTCGAGTGTGTGGGGGGGTGGCAGCAAGGCTTCCTGAAAAAGCGGAGCGCCTGGGGCGCCGCTTGCATCGTCCTTCGCATGCGTGAGGAAGTGGGGGAGATGCTGGCCGAGCGCTCCGCCGCCCTTGGCCGCTCCACCTTTCTTTCGGGCCCGGGGTGGGAGCCGACGGACCCCGGAGTGGCCCTCCTTGACTTTCGCTTGGCGTCCCCCCGCACAAATCGCCCGCTGCAATGGGAAAACCTCAGGCGGAAGGCTGTTCCAGAGCATGCGCTGTCAATTATTCGTGCCCTTCATGAGCGTTCTGTCTATCGGGTGCGCTCGGGGCGTCAGAGCGGGCCCTCTTTCCACCCTCGCAGGGGCCTGCGGGAAGGATGTGCGAGCAGTCCAGACCTTTTCAACGTCTTCCATGCGGAGTCCATGGCGACGGCCAGGTCGCTGCGCCACGAGTCGGCGCTGGCCTCCGACACTCCTGTCGGTGTGCCCTGCGTGTGGCGCCCGGGCGCGCTAAAACCGAATCACCGGGGCAATCGGAGGCGGCTGACCGGCCCTCAGCACGTGCGGTCCGAACGCATCTTATTTGCAGACGACGCGACCCTCGTGCGCGAACGGCGGGGGGCGGCTGAGGCTGAGCGCACGCTGGTGCAAGGCTTATCGTTCTTTGAGGAGGAGATCGGTGCAGGCAAGACAGAGCGCGCTTGGTTTACGGCAGACGACCCAGACACGCGCATGCTTGGAGTGTGGACTTCTCGGCAGGTTGATAGCAGAAAAAGGGCATCTCGATTCTGGAAGGCTTGGAATGGA